GGGTGTTAAAATATGACACAATCTGTTTCGTGAATAAGTAAACTCAACGCGATACGATTAATTAAAAATCGGGTATGAGTGAAGTTAATTGAAAAAAATATACAATATAACTTGTTTATATGTTGATTATACACAATTTATAACCTATACAAATTTGAAATGACACGAATTAATAAAAAATTAAATATAAGTAAAATACTCTTTAATACGAATTTACTTCAGTGGACACAATTGCCGGATCTAGTTGGATGAAATTTATCACAGATCATCTTATTTCTCAGGTAACTTGAGTGTTTTTTGGGCTAAAAGATAGCCCAGAAATTGTAGAGCTAAAACCAAATTTGTAAAGTGAAGGAAGCCCAATACTTCACCGCCTTGACGATGATTACTTTCCTCCCTGAGATACTTCGCTATATAAACTTCGAAAATGTGAAAAAAATGGAGGGAATATCAGAAAAAAGCTGAGGGTGCGAAAATGGCGCCAAGACGCCTTAGAATGGTGTGTTCCTCCGACGCAGACGACGAACCACAGCACCACCAGCAACCACCGCAAGTCGAAGAATACGACGACGACGATGTGGAAATCGAAGTACAAGAACCTACACTAAACCTTGAAACAGTAACCCTAAACTCCTCAAACCCAAACCCTAACCCTAACCACAATTATAATCCCTCTGAAGCAGTCCAGCTTGAAATCTCCGATGACGACTTCGTCGACGTCCCCGAAAACTTCTCTCCTCCACCTACACCTGCGCCTCCGCCTCCATCTGCACCTGCACCTGCACCATCGATTTCCACTCAATATGTCCACTCATCCACAGCATCGACAATGAATAGTTCTACCGATTCCAACTTTGAAGCCTCTGATTGTCCGATCAGTGGATTTTTACGGGGGCTAGGTCTGAATTTGCGGAGGGAGTGGTTAGATTCTTGCATTCGCAACCTTGAGAGCTTGGTTCCGGGCTTTGTGAGGTTTGATAATGCCACAAAGGCGAAGCTCTGTTTTGAGCAGTTCTTGTATTCGGATATGAACTACACTGGTGCTGGGGTGCTTCCGGAAAATGTACACAACATGCATCTGGTTGATCTGCCGGGGCCATTTGTGTTGCAGGTGTGGGATGTTTGTAAATTTGTGATAGTTCAATTCTTATAGATTTGAGCTATTAAGACCTAATTTGATGATGTAACACGAGAACTTGACGGATGGTGCTTATTGGATTAACAATAGGTCTCAACTTGCTTGTTTCCTGAAAAGGGGGAAGTGGGGAATCATCAGCTCTCATTCAGTTCATGTGACGAATTAAACATCGTTAAGTCTCGAATTCTGCAAATTATCGGATCTAGATCAAGATCTTCATTATGTCGTACGATACATTGACTCGGAGAATTGACTTTCAGTTGTAAATCATTCATTCTACTCCTAACTAAAGTAATGCTAGGTTAATTCATATAGGTGCGCTTCACTCTGCCACATGATAAACATGTTGTAAGGTAACTGTATATCAAGTGCTTAAGCGGAGCTTGTGGTCACTCGTTCCTCACTTGTTCCGAATGAGGTCTAATGATCACAATATATTCGTTCTCTAAATTAGATGCTCAAATTAGAAACCCAAAGTTGTTTTAGTGCAATAATTGGTACAAACAAATAATAAAGAGACCTAAAATCTGTATTTATTTTTGTCAAATTAGAAAAGTATAGGTATTAAAACAGTCAAATCAATTGAAATATAATTATCATACCAAATAATTTTACAAATTTCTCATGTATGTCACTGTTATTTTTTCCTTGTCTCGACTAGGAGATGTAAACTTGAAGCATCTTCAACTTTTGTTCATGTCCAAAGGGGTTCCCAAGATGTAGTGTTGCATAGATAGCCATCATCATTGAAGTAGTTGGAAATTTCATAAGGTGTTTGTAACATGTTTTCTTGATGTTGTGACATTTCTAGGCAAACTGAGGATAGCAAATTGGCTTGCTGGCGTTGCATGTTGAAGAGCTCCACTTGTGTCTTGGCCAATTCTGCTTGTAGCTCACTAACTTGCTTTTGAAGCTGATAAATTGCTCCAGTGGAACCATAAACTGGATCTCGAATCCTGGCGTTTGCTTCGTAAATTATGCTGCTCACTGCATCAGCTCTTTGAAACTCGGGAAGTTCCTGAAAATTTTCAAATATTACTAGCTAGTAAATCTAATATCGTATCTAAAATGAATGTTGTTAGTATTAGACACAACTAACCCGCTCAACTATCATTGGTAAGAAAGACAAAATGTATGGTGTTTTGTTTTCTAACTATCAAGATTATAAAATTACAAATCACAATTTGGCTTAGTGGAGTTGATAAAAAGAGCCCTTTTGAAGATTGTAAAAAGAGAACCCACTTAATGGTTTAAACCACACAACCTTTAATGTTTGCTCCTGGTCTTGGCAACTACCTTAAAAAATATAGG